CACACACACACACACACACACACACACACACACACACACACACACACACACAAGCTCACAGCTGGGCAGGAAACAAGCACAGGGTTTCAAAATGGCCCACACTTCAGCTCTTTGCTGTTGTCTTTTGCAGGTACAGAGAACATTTAGGATGCAAAATACTTGACCACCACCCGATTAGAACAGTGACCATCACAACAGCAAGCTCTGGGGCTTGTGGGTGGGGAGAATCCTGGGATCCTTTAACGGAGGGACGACGCAGTGGTCGGGGTGGGTGCTGGGACAGCCAGGGGGCCTCAGGAACAGCAGTTGACTAGCTCTATGGCCCATTTTTAGTGTTTGCTTTCTTCCTTCCACTACCCTCCCCCTCCCCGCCTTCTGCCCTGCCTCATCCTCTTCTTCCTGCTTCTCCTTCTTCATCTATTAGATTTTTTTTTTTTTTTGAGACAGGGTCTCACTGTGTAGTCCAGGCTGACCTCGAATTCATTATGTAGCCCAGGTTGGCCTCAAAATCACAGTGATCCTCCTGCCTCAGCCTTCTGAGTGCTGGGATTATAGGTTTGTGGCACCTTCATCTACTAGATATTGAACCCAAGCCTTTACAATGAGCAACCTCCACAGCCCTTTTTAATTTCTTTTTTTTTTTTTTTTGAGACAAGTGTCATTAAATTGCACAAGCTGAGCTCAAATTGGCAAATCCTGTCTCAGCCTCCAAAGTACTGGGGTCACAGGCACACCACCTGTTATCCTAAGCCACCATTATTGTTTCATTTTGTTAAAAAGAGTCTCAATGCATTAAAAAAAAAAAAAAAGATAGGGGTCTCACTGTGCTGCACAGGCTGTCAGCCTAGGTTCCCGCTATCCTCCTGTCTCACCCTCCTGAGTAGCTGGGGCTACTAGTGCAAGACACCGCACAAAACTAATTCAGTATTTAAAAACCTGTGAGCTGGCTGTGGTGGTGCATGACTGTGATTCCAGTACTCAGGAGGCTGAGGCAGGAGGATCACTGCAAGTTCAAGGCCAGCCTGGGCTACACAGTGAGTTCAAGGTCCACCTGAACTACAAAAAGAGACCCTGTCTCGGAAAAACGAAACAAGAAAAGTAGAAACCAGGCAAGCACAGTGGAGCACACCTGGCAATCCCAACTATTTGAGGCAGGAGGAGGATCACAAACTCAAGACCATCTTGGGCAAATTTGCAAGACTCTGTCATAAAATTTTGAACAAATAACATTCAAAGCAAAATTCTCCACACACAAAAGCTACTGCAGCACTTAAAACCCTAGTATGAGTTGAACGGTGTCCATAGGAGGAAAAAAGTTTGTTTTTATAAAATTGAAGTCCTGACCACAAGTACCTCAAAATGTGATCTTGATTGGAATTGGGTTGGAGAAGAGAATAATTATGCTTCTAGGATCTGCATTGAGAAGAATATATCCCAAGGTGGCCACTCGCCCAAAGAGAGTGAGGAGGCCTTAGGAACAAACCTGAACCCGTACCAGTTTGGAAGCAACCCCACTGTATTCAAGCAAACCCAGAAACCAGAAGGGCAAGAAGTACGAGTGTAAGGGGTGTTTGCCAGGCAGCAGCACGACAGTCGGTGACGAAGACACTGTGAGAACTGCTGTACTCTGAGTTAGGCACAGACAGCATGGTTGTTCCCTCGTTACAGCTGGAGAAACTGGATTTCAGGAGGCTTCCGCGACTCGTGCACAGTCACACAGTGAGTCAGCGGGAGAGTCACACCCAAGGCTCTGGCCTCCACCTGCTCCTTCCACTCCCAGACCCCTCAAACTGACCACTCCAATTCCTCCAGCTCCCGGCCTTTCATGACTTCCTGGATCTCTTCCCGGCACTTCTCCTGGTATTCTGGATACTTCGCCAAGTTGAACAGCACCCAGGAGAGCCCGCTGGATGTTGTGTCATGACCTGCAGGCAGATCGGGTGTCCAGATGGGGGCCACCATTCCCGGGCAGACGAGGGTCCACCGTGTGCCCCAGGAGGCAGCAGTGCCCATCCCTGTCTCCCCTCAGCCCAACCCCCTGTCCTCACCCTCAAACATGAAGGTGTCAGCCTCTGCTCGGATGTCTTCATCAGACAGTTCCTTTCCGTCTTCATCCTGCAGGGGGCAGTAGGGGGTACTCAGCGCCTTCCTCCCACCCTCTGCAGCCTAGAGGCTCCCCCATCTCTAGTCCTAGTGCAGGGAGCTGTGCCACTGGTACACGAACAGTGCGCTGGGCTTGGTGGTGCACACCTGCAATCCCAGCAACTCAGGAGGCTGAGGCAGGAGGATCACAAGTTAGATGTCAGCCTGGGCAACACAGTGAGACCTCGTGTCAATAAAATCTTTTAAAGGACTGAGAATGTAGCTTGGTGGAGGAGCATGTGCCTCGCATGGGTGAGGGCCTGGATTCAATGCTCAGCACAACAAGAAAAGAAGAAAGATAGAAAGAGGGAAGGAGAATTAAAGATGGGAGAAGAAGGGAGTTCATACCATCACGCACACCTTAATGATGAGGGTGCAGCTGGCAAAGTGTGACATTGAGTGATTTCATTTGTACTTACACAAACTGAAATGGCCATGATGTTACTAGGTGATATGGTTTTGTACGGTCCTGGGATAAACCCAGGACCTCAAGCACGCTAGGCAAGTGCTCTACTCCTGAGCAGAGTCCCAGCCCAGGCAATGTAATTTTATGGGGCCATCATCATGAACATGGCCCACTGCTGACCAAAGCATTCCACAGCACATGGCCGTGTCCACTGAGTAGCTCCTAACACCAAGCATCCCGCTGCGGCCCGACAGTGACCTGGTCATCGGGTCTTGTGGTTACCATGCTACAGTGGAGGAAACTGAGACTTGGAGAAAAGAGTCATGTGACTGGGTCAAATATCCACTAAGCGGCAGAGTCTGGGCTGGAATCTGGAACTCTTTAGACCCCGAACCCAAATGCTTCTCAAAAATTCCACAGAGGGAGCCAAGCTTGGTGGCACACACTTGCCATCCCAGGACTCTGGGAGGCCGAGGCAGGAAGAGCACAAGTTCAATACTGAACTGGACAATTTAGTGACTTGGCAAGACCGAGTCTCAAAATAAAAGATTCTGAAAGAACTGAGGCACAGCCCAGTGTGAAGGTTGTAGGTACTACAGAGTACCACCAAGAAAAAAAAAATCAACGGAAGGGCTTGAGAGTTCTATACAAATGCTATAGTTTTGTATTTACTTAAAACAGTTTAGCTGGGCCGTGATAACACACACCAGTAATCCCAGCACTCCAGAGGCTGAGACACAAGCAGCACCGCAAGTTGGGGGCCAGCTAGGGCTACACAGTAAAGTCAACACCACTACAAGATCTTTTGTAGTGCTGGTGATTTTGTGGTGCTGGTGATGAGGCGAAGGTCTCGTGCATGTTAGCGAGCATTCGCCACTGAGCTATTTCACCATCCCTTTTCATTTGTTTTAATTTTTAGTTTGAGACAGTGTCTCACAAAGTTGCCCAGGCTGGCCTCAAACTTGCAGTCCTCCTGCCTCAGCTCCCAAATGGCTGGAATTACAGAAATGTATCCCGACACAGGCCAGACGCAATCTTTTTTCAAATATTTTCAACCCGAGTCATGCTCAGTCTGGAGATACAGAATCCACATATATGGAAGGAGGATCTACTGTCTACATTCTTTTCAAAAGCAGAAGGAAACATTTGGGAGGCAGAGGCAGGAGGATAATTATGAGTTCAAGGCCAGCCTGGACTCTATAGTGAGTTCCATAATGGTTCAAGGCCAGTCTGAACTACATAGTGAGACCTTGTCTAAAAAAAAAAAAAAAAAAAACCTGAAGGAAAGTCCGGGCATGGTGGCACATGCCTGTCATCCCAGCACTCAGGAAGCTGAGGCAGGAGAATCTCCATGAATTCAAGGCCAGCCTTGAACAGATTTTGTTACCACAGACTCACAAGGTCAGTCTCACATGCCTGCATCTAACTCCATCCTCGATCTTTGAGTTTTAGCATCTATGCCTTCACGTAATTGGTGCAGTTCCTGGGGAGGTGACCCCAGCAGGCTCCCCTCTCCGGGCCCAACCTCACCCTGGCCAGGAGCAGCACATCGATGAAGTCCAAGGTCTTGCCCTGCTTGGCCTTCAGCCACATCTCCGTCCCCTGCTGACACAGCGCCTTCCGCCGCTCCTGGATGACCTCGGTGGTGAAGCGGTGCACTATATCGCAGGCCCGGCGGAAGCGCCGCCCGTCGGTGGAGAGGTTGTAGATGAAGTTCAGGTAGTGATGCAGGCGATACTGGCGCCGGACGACCAGGGCGCTCAGCTCGATGATGGCCGATATGTAATCGCTCATCTTCCTGCCGGGGACAGGGGCGGTGAGCACCAGGCGTCCCCACCTCTGGGTTCCAACAAGCCTCTCCTTCCCCTCTTCCAGCTTCCCATCAGGCGCCGCACTTCTAACCCTAACCCTAAGCTAAGATGCCCTCGGCCCTGGGACACAACCTAGGAGACCCTGGCCAAAGCTGATCCGAGGTGAGACAGTGCTGTTTGCAGTTTCCACCCACCAACCCGAGTTCAATAAACCTCTCTCTCGGCAGGGTGTGGTGGTTCGCCCCTGTGACCCCAGCACTCGGGAGGCCCAGGCAAAAGGATCACTGTAGGAAGGAGACTTTCCAAAGGCTGCACTCTCCAGAGGAACGCGGGAAAAGAAAGCACCATCTGCTGAGCACCTACTCCATGCCAAGCCATTGACTCACACTGTCTCACTGGGTCGTCACCAGCGGCTCTGGGAAGTGAATTAGCACGCCCGTTTTAGGAATTAGGAAACCGCGGCTCAGAGGTGACATCAGGGCCGTGTGGCCCACGGGCGGCAAGGTGCCCACAGCCCAGCATTGCCTCACAGCGGGGAGCTTCCTCTCTCGCCTCCCACTCTCCTTCTGACGGCAGCTGGCTCCGCTCCCCACACCCAGGGGTGGCACACTCACTCCTGGCAGTTGCTGTTGTAACTGAACACGCATTTCTGAAGACTGTCCAGGGTCATGAGGCTGACGTGCTCAAACATGTCAAAGGAGGCCACCGAGCTCTCCCCCAGGTGCCGCCGCCATTTGGCCTGGAAGAGAGGACGGGCGGGGAAAGGGTGTGGGTCCTCAGACTTTGGGGAGGCCTTTGCCGGAGGGGCCGGTCACACCCGGGACTCCTCCTCCCGTGGCCCGGCCCCCGGCCCTCACATGCATGATGTTGGTGCACTGGTTGAAGACCTTCATGTACGGCTTCAGAATGTCGAAGTGGAAGGCGGGGGTCAGCAGACGGCGGTGCCGGCCCCACTTGTCCCCTTTGCTGAGCAGAAGGCCGTCCCCTGGGCCCAGAGGATGGAGGTTAGGGACTTCCCGTGTCCCTCTGAAACCATCCACCACGGAAGCCCAGGCCCCAGATCCCCCCCAGGAACTCACCCAGCCAAGGCTTCAGGAAGCTGTAGAAAAATTCATCCTTGGGGGCAATGGCAGCTGTGGAGAAGAAGCAAGCGATGCAGATATAAGACAGGGCCACTCTGCACGCCACCAGCAGTGGAGAAGGGTCCTTTCCCCCACAGCCCTGCCAGCGCTTGTTATGGGCTGATTTCTCAATAACAGCAACTTTCTGGAGTGAGACAGAATCTCAGTGTTGTGTGAATTTGCATTTCTCGGATGATCAGTGATGTTAAACGTTTTTCACACATTTATCTGCCCTTGTACTCCTTCATCCGAGAAGTGTCAGTCTATTCATCTCAGATGCCCATTTTTTTGGATTAGGTCTTTAAATATGGGGAAGGGGTCGGATTTTTTGTACGTTCTTTATATATTGTAGATATTTGTCCTTTCTCTGAGGAACAGCTGGTAAAAAATTTTCCCCTCTCTGTGGGTTGTCTCTTTACTCTGCTGGTGGTTTCTTTTGCTGTACAGAAGCTTTGCAAAATGATATCATCTCAGTTGTTTTTTTTTTCAGTTGTTCATTCATATTTCCTGTGCAACTGGGGATTTGTCCATAAAGTCTTTGCCTACACCTATGTCTTCAACAGTTTTACCTATTCTGTCTTCCAGCAGACTGTTTCTGTTTCAATATTTAGATCTTTGATCCATTTTGATCCTAATTTTCAGCATGTGGAAAGCCAATTTTCCTAGTACCATTCATTAAAGAGGCTGTCTTCCAGTGAAGGTATTTGGCCCCTTTGTCAGAGATAGGGCCAGGGATTTATCTCTGGTGCCACTGCCTGCCTTGCAAGCGCAAAGTCCTTAGTTTGATCCCTGGTAAAAAAAAAAAAAAAAAAAGATAACATGGCTAAGGGTATTTGGAGTTGTTTCTTTATCTTCTATTTTGTTCCATTGATCCCTGGGTCAGTTTTGTTTTGTTTTGTTTTGTTGCCAGTACCATGCTGTTTTTATCATAGTAGCTCTTTGTATAATTTGAAGTTAGGAATTGTGATGCCCCCTGCCTTGCCTTTGTTACTGAGAATAGCCTTTCCTATTCTAGGTCTCTTCTAGTTCCAAATGAACTTTAGGATCGCTTTCTCTAGTTCTGTGAGATATGCTATTGGTATTTTGATCAGGATTGCATTGAATCTGTATAACATTTTTGGAAGTATGTCCATTTTCACTAATTGGTTCTGACTATCCAAAAACAAGGGATATCTTTCCATTTTCTAATATCCTTTTCAGTATGGAGATTCCTCAAAAAACTAAAGCTAGAGGTTCCACATGACCCAGCTAGTCCCCTTCCAGGTATCTTTCCAAAAGAGTTAAAAGCATTATTGCACAGCAACATATGTACACCCAGCTTTTATAGCAGCACAATTTCTAATAACTAAGCCTTGGAAACAGCTCAGATGCCCATCAATTTATGAATGGATAAAGAAATTGTGGTTTTTATAGAGAGTACTACTGTGCCACAAAGAAGGACAAACTTGAGACATTTTTAGGTAAATGGATGCACTTTGAGAGCATACTTTTAAGTGAGATAAATCAGACACACGTGTTTAAATATCACATTGTTTCTCTGGTATGAGAAACTGAAAGGGCAAATAAGGACCAAAAATGGAGGATAGATATTGGGAAGCAGGAAGAAAATGTTCAAATGGGAAGGAGAACGAGGGAGCGGGAGGGAAACAGGAAAGAAAGGGGGGAAGAGAATAGAAGGGGAAAATGGAGCCAAGGCTTCTGTAAATAAGGAGAGGAAGAGGGGGTCAAAGGGAGGGGGAAATGCGGGGGAGAAGCAAAGGGCCAGGGATGTAGCTCAGTGGCATCGAGCCTGCCTGGCAAATACAAGGTCCTGAGTTTGATGCCCGGCACTGGGGTAGGGGAGCAAGATGTATCATGTAGAGGTACAAATTCCGTTTGATGAATGTGATCATTATGCTTATCAAAAGGGAACTAAAGGCCGGGCGTGGTGGCACACACCTGTGATCCCAGCACTCAGAGGCTGAGGCAGAGCATTGCTGTGAGGTCAAGACCAGCCTGGGCTACGTAGTAAGTTCGAGTTCAACCTAAATTACACAGTGAGACCCTGTCTCAAAAAAACACACTATAAAAGTGAACAAATAACTTTAACTTTAAAAAGAAAAGATATGGGCAGGGGATTTGGCTCAGTGGTTCCGCCACCACCTGCCTCACAAGAGTGAGGGCCAAAGTTCGATCCCCGGTACCAAAGAAAAACAAAAAAAATTTCAGGCCAGGGATTTAGCTCAGTGGTTCCACCACCTGCCATGGAAGCGCAAGGACCTGAGTTCGATTCTCAGTACCAGAAAAAAAAAAGATACAAGCCAGGGATTTAGCTCAGTGGTTCCACCACGACCTGCCTTGCAAGTGCAAAGACCCAAGTTCGATCCCCGATACCAAAAAAGAAAAAGAAAGGTACAAGACAGTGTTCCTTGATTTGTGCTTATGACTTCGTCAGGCTCTTCTCTCTGTGCCAGCCTCCCACCACGCCTCTCCAGTTCACCGTCCACAGCTGTCTCCCAAAGATCCTCATAACAGGCTGTTTTGAACATGAATTTCCCCTGCTCAAACACCTCCCCAGCTCCCTGCTGCCACGTAAGAGTGCAAACCAAGCCTAACACTGAAGGCCTGGCCCTCTCTGCCAACACAGGCCATCTGAATTACACCTCCTGTTCTTTCCACCTCCAGACTCACTCTCTCTGTCTGTGCATCACCCTGGCCACAGGAGAGCTTATCTGACTGTCAGACTTGACCACATGCATCCTCTCCACTCCAAGTCTTTGCATGAGCTGCCATCTCTGCCCCAAACATTCTGCCTTCATCTTCTGGGCTCAGCTTAGACTGCTTCCTCCTGCAACCATCACACTAGGTGGCATCCATTCAGTTACAAGGCCCTTGATGGTTCTAAAGATATCATTATTCAATGAATACAGGGATTAATCCAAGAGTGGATGAATAAAAAAGGAATGACTGATCAGTGGATGGGTAGACAGATGGGTGGATGGGTGGACAGGAGGATGAGTGGATGAATGGATGGATAGACGGATGAATGGTCTTCCGACCCAGCCGCCATTGCTCAAGCACCGGGAAGGTAGCCCGGCGGGCACCCCTGAACCCCCATAAGCCCCCCCTCACTCTCAGTCCTCCTGACTGTGCCAGTCTTTGGACCCACTCTGCAAGACAGAGGTGGCCATCAAGAGTATTTTTCTGAGTTCCCAACTTTGAACATCTTTAAAAAAAGGGCATGGGAAACCTGTAGTAGAACGGTGTGGAGTTCAACCATTCAGAAGGTTGGGGAACTCAATCTGGGCCTTGCAGCCCAAGGTCAGTCTGCTGCAATGGGGTTTAGCCATCAGCTAACTGAGATCAGGGGTCTTGCATCCTCGCTCTGTCTGAGCCATTAAATGGTAAATACAGTATATTGAAATTTTGTTCACTGCAGACATGTTCTGGACTGCTTCTTGATTTCAATTTAATACAAATGATTTAAGGGTGATAAATTGTGCTTGATCTTAATGTGTTGCTGATTGTATCAGTTGGCATAAAACATTGCGGTTGATTTGATGAGCTGTTTTCTCCAATGTTATGAAGATGAGAGTGTCTGTGGGTCGATAGAGACACAGAAGCTAGGACGCAAATATATCAGGAAGATTTGGGTGATAATCCAGAGATTAAACCAAGGACAGTCCCACAACAAAAATAAAAATGAGGAAACACTTAAGCAAGACACAAGGACAGACTTCCAGTTCACCAATGGCAAACAGTAGGGCAAATGAGGATGAAAAGGCCGATAGTGAACCACCAGGACACCCTGAACTCAAAGCACAGGAAGTAACAAAACAGATCAGTCAGGCTCTAGAAAAATTCAAAACAGAACTAATTTCCCAGATAACCACAGAGATAGTGAGCAAAATGGAAGTCGTGATTCGAGACTTTAGAGCAGAAACTGACAAAAAAATAGATGAGCTCAGGACCACGATAGAAGCCATGAAGGCCCAGCATAAGAAAGAAATGGAAAAAATAAACACCCAACATAAGAAAGACATGGAATCCATAAAACAGATTCAAACAGATATCCAGAAGATTAAACACTCCATAGAAAGTGTACACAACAGAATAAAAGAATGTGAAGATCGACTCTCAGATATAGAAGATAAGATTACAGTCAGTGACCATGAAAAGAGAGATCTCTTAAAAACAGTAAGGGATCATGAGAAATTGATCCAACAACTCCTAGATGATGCAAAGAAGAATAACATAAGACTGATAGGAATACATGAAGTAGCAGGTGAAAATACAAATGACTTTAAAAAGCTGTTTGCAGAATTAATGACAGAAAACTTCCCAAAAAGAGGGGAGGAATTTGACATTCAGATAGCTGAGGCATATAGGACCCCAACTAGCTACAATCAAAAAAAAAAATCTACACCTAGACATATAATAATCAAGATCCCAGAAACCCAACAGAAGAACAAAATACTACAAGCAGTAAGAGAAAAGAAATAAATCACATACAAAGGAAAGCCCATCAGAATCACAGCAGACTTTTCAACACAAACCCTTGGGGCAAGGAGAGCCTGGAATGAGATATTTCAAGTACTAAAAGAGAACAACCTCCAACCTAGACTGATGTATCCAGCAAAACTCTCTTTCAAAATGGAGGGGGAAATAAGACACTTCCACGACAAAGAACACCTGAGAAACTACATGAATACTAAACCAGCACTACAAGGAATTCTAAACAAGATCCTAAAAAAGGACAATGAAGGCAACAACACCATGAGGCCCAACAGAGCAAATCAAATAGGCAAGGCAAGAAATTAAAAGGAGAAGGTGAAAAAGTAAAAAGAGTCAACAAAAGGCCAATAACATGTCAATAATAAGTCAGTACATATCAGTTATAACCAGCAATGTCAATGGCCTCAACTCACCAATCAAGAGAAATAGACTGGCAAAATGGAATAAGAAGCAAAATCCAACAATATGTTGTATACAAGAAACACACCTAGTGCAAAAAGAAGCCCATAGACTGAAAG